GTTGTAATATATGGTGGGGTTCAGCTCCACTTCGAAGAGGGGTATGGTAAACCTCGAAGAAATAATATCCTTGCCTATTATTCTCTGACTGCTCTGAGAATGCTTTTGGCTTGCCAAGAGTAGTTAACACAAGAGAAAAAGTTTTATTTCAGTTTCAGTCATCGTACACTTTAAAGTTTTTACGTTCTAGGATCATGACTGCCAAAACAAAATAGTCGCCTGTTTCCCTCACGTTGGGTTTGCATCTGGTTAAATCTAGCAGATAAATCTGTGAAGTTAATCATAAATCTACGTTTTCAAAATAGCTTCAAATTTAATGTAAGCTATAACTGATGATAGTTTGATCGTCGCTAAAGGCAGCACCAACATATGTCCTACCCATTTGGCGCGAAATAGTAATTTGCATGTGAAGAAAGTTATAGTGAGACATGCCTTCGAAAAACCTACAGTCTCGGCCACAGTCTCGGCCTCATTCCCTCGTCTAGCTCACTTGCACTAGCGCCTGTAGAAGGCTTCGTCGGTTGGTGATGAAATGGGACGCAATGGCCATCGCGGGGTGGAAACTTACATCCAGGTCTGCTCCTGTAACCTCCCCTGTACGGCAGTAGTTGAAGGCTCGCATGGACTGAAAGCAACCGGATAAGCGAGTGTAGTGAAAGAATCCAAACTTCGTTTTGGTCCAACGCATATGCAACGTAACCCATTGTTTGGGTTATAGATAATAAGTGAACAGAACAATATTCACCCGTTTCGTGATTTTCAGAATATTTAAACAATAACTTCTTTTTAACTCAGTAGGTGTTAAAGGGTATAAATATCTTGGAGAGGCATGAAATTAGTCATAAATTTTAACTCCAGTGCTCTAATTTCGAAGGCACTTCCCGTTTATACTTCTTTTATTTTTTAGTTTGTCCGTTTGGCCGACGTTCATGACAGGGCGGACATATTACTGTATCTAGAACAGGAATGTAAATTATTAGAGGGAGAGCCTCCACAAATGTGCATCGCAATGGCGGATACTTTGGATAAGTTTCAGCTTAAAGAAGGGAAGCTGAATTTACTAGAGGGGGTAAATATGCTACAATGATATTATTTTAATAGTCTACCTACAATACTTATTTGTATTTTCAAGGAAAGGCGACCTTTGGGAAAATCAGGAATGGATAACTTTTTTTGAAATTACATTTCTTGGGATGCCGGTCTTCCAGTTTATACTAATTGTTATATTATTACATGAATGGAATTAAATGTTTCCGAATTTAGAAGTTTACTCAGACCCTTATTTCCATTTGCAGGACAAAATAAGTATTTATGCAAGTTCTACGTGCATATATATTCAAAATAGTTACAGACAGTTAAAAAAGACGAAAGAACCCGATTAAGCACTTGAGGCAAACATTTTTATCCTGAACTATGACTCAGGACGAAAAAGCTCATTAATTTTTGCAAAAAGCTGAGGCGCTAGGACCTTAAATTATCTACTTCAGTCCTCTGCACTGCCACAGGTTACCAAAAAATGCACATCGCTCTGTGACCCCTGACATCAGAACCTGTAGTGCTTGCCTCAGGAACCAAAAAGAACTCTCAGATGAAACATAATTTTGCAGGTTAACATTTCATATAAGGTATACGTTTATTGAACACCGTTAACCCTGAAGTTATTTTCATTAATTGAGAGTAATTTAGATAAATTTGTATAAAAAAGATATTGTAAGAGTGCTCTTCCAGTTCAAAGCGCTTATTTAAACAGACTCATAATTAATTATTGATTAATGGCGCCGCTAGTGCAAGGTCTGCAATTTGGGACAGGCAAAAAGAAGGTAAAATTTATCCCCAAATATTTGGTAGTCCTTTAGATGTCTAAGCAATTCGTGTATGTAAATACAGATAAGTTGTTCTTCGGAAGGTTTTAGTAACCTAAATTTTACTAGTTCGCAACTTTTGTCTAAATAACCTGAAGTCATTAATTTATCCTCGTAACTTAGGACACCGTAAGGTCATGTTTGTCACACGTGGCTGCTTACTTTGTGATAATAGCAGAATGATAGTGTCATAATGGTTTTCGGTGAAAAAATAAATATCGTATTTAACATGGCGTTTACAGCTGTAAAAGCGCCTTTGAAGTGAGGGAAAATTGTAACTACTTGTACCGCTCCGTAAGTAAAGGTAATATGTAATTTACAACTTTTACAACCTTTGACATTTTAGTACCTTTATACGTTGGCAATCACAACGGAGATTATATTCATATCAAGTGGTTTCAATACCACGATTTCAAAATTAACGGGACGAATTTGTCAGCGAGCTGCGGAGTACCTTCAGGCAGAAAAAGCAGATTATCCAACTAAGTACCGTTCCATTGGAATTTTGCCATGGAGCAGGGTGAAGCATTCTGAAGTTTTGGAAGCTACGGTAAGGGGCACCACTGTGTTCCTTCTATTAGTCCATGTTTTCAAAAACTTGCTGGTAGGAAGTACTTTCCTATACAGGTGTTTGTACAACAAGAGAATTTAACAAAATGTCTTAAAATAAACTGAAGTATTAAATGGAAGTATGCGTTTTCCTAGGTAATTCATTTTTGTGATCCTTTGTTTTTTCCCAATTCCTTGTCGATAACCACGGTAGGTCTCTCTTGAACTTAGCATTTTTAAAATAATGGATATACGATAAGCTGGTTTCACAATATTTTTATTACCTCATTCCTGTAAATGTAAGCTTCGTCAGGAGTTCTGTTTTCAA